CCTAGATTTTCAGTGTGCAGGTACTTACAGAAGGGACCTCGTAGATCTATGTGGAAGGGCTACTTAGGAGCGGCAGTCAGTCGGGGTGGGGGGGAGGCTTAACGCTGCATTTCCAGAGCGTACACTTACATCGGAGGGAGAGAGCATCAGTTGTCCACACCGAAGAAAGAAAGAAAGAAAAAGTAAAATTAGAGAGAAGGAAAGTAGAAAGAGATTATTAGGAGATGGGTAAGTCCACCCCCCCGCCCCCCTCCCATTCCCCTAAACTGCCAAACCTCAGGAAAAACCCGGGGATCACAGACCAGGACAGAATTCCTCACCCCTTGGCTTGCAGTTAGAAGAAGCCCCAGCAGATTTGGGTCGGGGATGCTGGGGAGGGGGTTACAACGGGCGACTTTTAGAGGTCAGGTGCTGGGGGGTGGGATCCAGTCCTAGCGGGGGCAGCTTAGTCACCTACCTTCTCCTGAAGTCCCCAGTGCTCTGAGTCACTGCAAAGTGAAAACAGTCACGTTTTCCAGGAAGCCCCGCCCCCTTCTAGGGACCGGTTATAAAATAACGACTACATGACTAAGGGGCTGACGGAAAATTCTTAAACAAATACCCAAACTTTTCACTTTTGTCTGGATCAATGGAAAAGTCATCGACTGTGCAACGTTTGCTTTTTTTCCTTCGCCAGGTCACCGCTAAGCAGCAAGCAGAGAATGTAGGCAAAGGGAAGGGATTTGTTTTTCTAGTGAAAATGTTGCAACAGTAACATCAACAACTACATATTTCTGTAATAGACTTAATTACCCAGGGCTTACTGTGTGGTAGGCCGGCTAACAAGAACTTTACAGGCATTGTATCTTTGACTCCTCATCTCTAATTAGTTCGTCCAAGGGTTGTACCCTGAGCCAGGACAGTGCGCACACTTCTGCTGTAATGACAGAACCTCCAGTCACCCAGGACCAAGTCAGCCAGTCACAGGTCACTTACTAGTATGGGTATTTCATCAGGATCCTAAAACCAAGTGTGTGGGGTAACAATGTAAGTAACTGAGAATATCTGTTCTCATTTTCCTGGCAAATTTATGTCTTCAAGTTTCCTATATCTTTTCTTCCAAAACAACCTATTAAATCTGGGACTAAAAGAAAGAGTCATATTGCTGTTGAGAATCTATGTAGGGTAAAGAATATATGATTTGTATGAAGGACTGAGCTTGATTTTGGTCTCTGTGATGTGTTCGTTGTGGCAATTTTACCCTCCTTAAATTATTTATTCTCTTATCTGTAAATTGGGGTTAGTGATATCCTTCCTTCCTTGATTTTTTTTTTTTTAAAAGCTAATGGATCTTAAAGGATGTGACTATACACGAGGGTACTTCAAAAAGTTCATGGAAAAATGGAATTGAAAGATAATATAAATTTTTCCATGAACTTTTTGAAGACCCATAGTGTATATAGTATATACAATACAGTCATGCACTGCTGCTAATGACATTTCCGTCAATGATGAAGTGTGTATGCGATGACGGTGGTCCCATAAGATTATGATGGTTATACCATATAGCCTAGGTGTGGGGTAGGCCACACCATGTGGGTTTGTGTAAGTACACTCTGATGTTCAGACAATGACAAAGTTGCCTAAAGGTGCGTTTCTCAGGATATATCTCCATTGTTAAGAGACCCATGACTGTGTGTGTGTGTATATCCACACATATGCATTACATAGACATTACATATACATTACATGCATATATACATATACTCGTAAAGCACTATATAAACTCAAATCCTATTTTATCAGTACTGGGCTCTAGAACCATGTTTTTTACATGTGCCAAAGTAATTGTGAAAGAAAATGACCCTTTCTCTGGGTAGAAATCATGCCTGATATTGTTTCTCATGGCCATAACTTCTTTCTACTTGGCTGAAGTATCTGGGCAAGAAAAGGGAAAAGCTGGAAAAATGAGTGGAGTTCATCATCCCATCCAGCTGGGCTAAGAGTTCAGCACTAACGTCTGCCACACACCAAACACGGCAGCGTGGCTGGAAGGAACTGAATCAGGAAACACACATAAGATGCTGGTCATTGGAAGGACGAGTGTATGAAAAGTCCCTTAACCTAGCACAATCTGCACAATTAAACAGATCTTTATAGTTGCCAAAAATATGATTCATCTTATTTATGTGCTTATTCATATTTTGCTTAAACACAATGGATAATTTCACTCTTTTCATATAAAATATTTAATGAGTCCAATGATCAAACTTTTGAAAGAGAAACATGTAATTCATTCTTTTTGTCAACATATATGTATTGAGCTTTTATATGCAAAGCAGTGTTCTAGACATTGGCATTATGGCAATAACCAAGACATAAAAATCCTTATCCACGTGGAGCTTACATTGTAAGGGGAGCAAATATTCAGTAAACAAAAAAGCAAATAAGTAAACAAGAAAGTCTCTGATAATGAAAGTCCTTAAAGAAAACAAAATACGTCATATAATAGAGAGCAAATAGATGCTGCTTTAGGTATCTAATCTAAAGCCACCCAAAAGTCTATTCTTGTGATTTAGTGTTGCTGGGTGTTCCCCAATATCGATTCTCCCCTCCTTTTTCATACTCATAGGAACTCCAGCTTTAGCCAAGTCTATGGCCATTCAGAAGACAGACATTTCCCAGCTCCCTTAAAGCTGGTGTGACCTTGTGACCAAGTTCTGTCCAACGGGCTACGAGAAATGATGGATGTAACATCACACCCTCAGAGAAGAGTCCTTGACTTTACCCTCTTCGTACTCACTGGTGGGAATGCAGATATATTCTGAGCCATTTTGGACCACAAGGACTAGGGCATAACCCCATAAGAATGGCAAAGCAACAAGACAGAAGGATCCCGAGTCCCTGAAACTCTCACGGAGCAGAGGCGCTGCATCGGCACAGACTTTTCCATGAGAGAGTAGTGAATTTCTCTATGGTTTATAACCGCTCTCTGGGATGTGCGCCACACAACCCTTATCTTACCTAATACTCCTGGTTATGATCGATGAAAAGAGTAGACTTTGAAGGACACTGTCTTCTTTTAAATATGAAAAGCACATTTGCACAAAATGGAAAGAGAGATCTGTGCGTTGTGAGAACAGCATTCAATTCATTTCAGCAGTGCCCACCCTCATGCATGTAACATGGGCACTGGGTTATGCCGGTGTGTTTTGATTGTACTTTGCTCCTTATCTTCTTCCAGGTTTTCTCATAGTCACTTCCCTTCCTGAAATAAGAGCTCTTTGTCCGCCACCACGCAGAGTGCTTAGCACTGGCTCAGAACAGGCTTCCAATAAGGTGTTTGTCTCATCCTCTCATTTCCTGTTCTCTCTTCTCAATGTTCTCTGTCATCACGGAATTTGATTTAACTCCCCTGTTCTGCTTGCTCTCTCTCCTCTGATGTTTCTATAGCAAGTCATCTAAAACTTCCTTTGGTTCTTGTCACACTTGACCCCTTTATGTGCTCTTAAAACTTGTAAATCTTTAAGTAAATAAATGTCAAAAGAACATAGAATTATTTGATTAATGAATGAATTCATATAAATGCTGTTGGTTGTACTGGTCTATACTCTTCTGTCTTGTGATTGCTACTCACTGTAGATACTGTAAGGCAGATTTCAAAAAGAGTATGTGAACAAATTCTCAGGCACAAAATGTACACGTCTTATAAGCCTTTATTACCTGACATATTAGTGACAACAATTACAATTATTAGGCATTGTTTTCATATGATCACTGATACCTTGCAAATTTATTGTTTTGCATGAGAGATCACATGCAAACTGGGTTCAGCAGAAACTTATAGATGATGGGTAGATAATAGGGTGGATTTAAATATATATGTATGTAAATATATACATGTATTTATGTATTGATGCTATATATTGACTTTCTATTAGAAGCCAGTGCTAAGTATTCTACATGGTAAGACAAACAGTTTTAATTTCCGATAGGAATAAAGCCCATCCTATGAAGCCACTTATTTATTTTTCGGAAATTTCTTAGAAGATGCTGACCATTGCTTAAGAGTAACAGTTTTCACCAATTACAAGTAAATATGCTCCTGACAAACCGAAAGCATAAGTAAGTGACAGAGAGGATAGGCAGGCTGAAGTTCAAGGTTCTAAATCTCCAAGGGCTAGTAAAGGACATACCTTGCACTCCAGAGGTCAAAAAATTGTAGAGAAAACTAGAAACCAGGTTGTGATGTATGAGATCAACTTGGTTCTGTCCTGGAATTAAGTCTGTGAGCTTTAGATTCAGAGTCTGGGGGTCAGTTCCTACCTCTAGTACTTAATGGTTGTGTAAACTTGGGAAAGCAATTTAACTAACCTGAGTCCTTATTGATGGATCTTGGATGAGACCAGTACCATTGTGCACACAATAAGCACAAAATAGCCCCGGGCCTTGTCTCCCACCCAAGCACCAAATCCTTCCCTTTATGAGAAGCCTTTATGAGAAGCACTTCCCTTTATGAGAAGCCTCATGACTTCTGCAAAACAGAAACCCCCTTTTGCTTCTGCAGGGGTGCAGTCTCCACCCTGGTTGCATAGTTTCCACATTAGCATAATGACCCTACTTGCTGGCATCAGCCAGCCCTTGGCACACTATATAAGCTCTACCACCCCCACACCTGGTGCTGTCTTCCATTTTGAAGGCAGCCCTGGGCTGTTCCCCACTTTGAGCACAGCCTGGCAGATTCTTTTCCTTTAATAAAGCTTGAACGGTACCCGGCATCTCGGTTCACTTTCTTTCACTTTCCATCATTTGTAAATGGACTGGTGATACCCACTGTCTATATATGTTGTAATAATTAAACAAAACAATGTTTCCTAAGTCATCTTTCACAAGCAGACACTCTCCAAATGTTAGTTCCACTTCCCCATCTGGGTTGGTGTGGCTGAATCCTGAGAATGTGGAATACTATATGCCACCAAGATCGCCATACAGAACAGAGCAGGTTGTTTTCATGAAAAGATTCTGAGATTTCTTCTACTTTCTTTAAACCTGGTAATACTGGTTTCATTTTGTTTGGGCTTGTCTTTTGTTACTCCCCATCTCTTTCAGTGTCCTTACACATAGATAAAGTAAAATCACCAAAAAGAC